TTCCCAAATCTGACTTGCAGACGACGAAAGTAATCGAAACCCTAGCTTTCTCGTTGTTCCGGATCAAATCTTATCTCGGTCGCTTTTTATATCAATTCCAGGTAAAATTTTCATACATTCATCAGTATGTCTTGCTCTTTTGCTTCTATGATGCTATTTATATTTTTGAAGAAAATGGACTTCCCGGTTTTTATATCTATTTTTTATATTTCGGTTATTTTTACGTTTATTTCTCAGATTTTCGCGAAAATGACTCAAGATATTGAGATGAAAGAGCAACAACCTGCACTCTCTAACTCACTCTCCATCACTGCTCCCTCAACTTTTCAGAGTAAGTATAAGCACATAGATGTATGAATATGTATATGGTTTTTTTTTTTTTTTGGGGGTGGGGGGTGGAGTGGAGGTGGCTTTTTTCAAATTTCAATTTCAATTTCAATTTTGTGCTTTTGTTTTTGTATTTGTATGCTGTGTTGATTTATGGGAGTTTTTTTTTTTTTTTAATAGATTTGAAGGAGATAGCGGCATTGATTGAGGTGGGAGCATATGCCCGCGAGGTGCGGAGGATTGTGAGGGCAATTCGGTGGACGATCCAGTTGAGGCGAAAGCTAAAGGCATCTGTCCTTTCTGCATTTCTCAATTATGTTCTTATCCCTGGATCCGAGTTGCACTCTCGCTTGTATTCTTACCTTCCCAAGGTAAGAAGGTTATTTTTTCGTGAGGATCAGTGAATTATCAGTGGAAATGTAGTCTATGCATTGGTTGGTGGTAAATGGTAGCTTAATCCGTGTTCATTAAGTTATTAATCATATACGAATTTGCTGTATGATCTATTTTATCGCTTTGTTGTGTGAGAAGGTTTGCATCATGTATATTGTAGGGGGAGATTATGGTCACTGTATTGCACATTTCATCACATTTATAAATCTATATAGTGTGTTACTGTAATATTTTAGGCTTCTATTGGAAATGATAATACCAGCACGTACACATGATGTTGAAACTCTTATAGTTTGTTGTCGTGTATGCTCATAACGTAAATTAGGTTATGAAATAACACACAGGTTATGCTCATGTGGATTATATCATTAATATGGTGCTGGAAAATTAGTAGGGTGACTCTAGGAAAATGACTTTAGGTTGCATTTTATGGAAAAATTTCTGTTTTTATCACGAGATAATAACATGGAACAATAGTTGACGTGTGAAAATGATATGAGTAAGGAGATATGGTTGCCCTGTTTACCAGATTTAGTGTTGCTTGTAGGAGGATGATCAGGATATGGAACTGGATACCGCAACATCTGCAACTCAAGCTCCTGCAAAGCACCCTTTACCAGAACTTGAGGTTTATTGCTGTTTTCTTGTTCTAATATTTCTGATTGATCAGAAGAGATACAGTGAGGTACGGAAATATGATTAGTTTTCTTGCATGAACTTTCTAATGATGTTTGAATCGCTACAAATTATCTTTCTGTTTTCTTTGTTTTCTTCAGGCCAAGGCCTGTTCTTCGGCAAGCATTGCTCGTCTAAAGAACCTGAACAGGCGAACTGTTGATGTTCTAGCATCCAGGCTCTACTTTTACTACTCTCTGAGCTATGAACTTACTGGTGACCTTGCTGAAATTCGTGGGTATGTTATATACTTGTATTCATGTTGGCTCTTTCTATGACAACTATGCCCGAGGACAAAGCATGCTTACATAATGTTCTAAACAAACACGAGCAGACGGTGCAACTGGAGTTGAATGTTGTTTTCCCGATTTTCAGCAATATATTATTGGTTTTCTCTTTTATGGTCTTTACATCTAATGGAGTCTCGTTTATGAACAGTAATCTGCTGGCATTACACCGGACAGCAACATTGCGCCTTGATGAGTTGGGACAGGTTTGTTGTTGATCACACATGCTATTAGTTTGTATTTATGGTGGACATTCTCATGCTTCAAAATGGTCGACTACAGGAAACACTTCTCAATCTGTTACTGAGGAATTACCTGTATTACAACTTATACGATCAAGCTGAAAAACTGAGATCAAAGGCTCCACGGTTTGAAGCTCACTCAAATCAGCAGGTAATTCTCAGTAATTAATAAAATACTCAGTTAATTTTATGCACATTAATTCATTCTTTTTTGTTTCTTTTTCCCCCCCTTCTTTTTGTTTGGGAGAGTTGGCTGTGGGGGTTGAGGAGAATGTGCACATATGATTCCACGCTATCAATTTCCTAATATTTTAGCGACTCCTTTTTTTATTTTTTGGGAGAGGGAGACCTTTTTCTTTTCCAAGTTCATTTGGCTTGACCTTCTAATAGAGTCGTCTGTTAGACTTGAACATTATATAGTGTTTGTAATGTTAAAACAAAGAGGAAACAGGTGACAGAGATATTAATAATGTGTTTATGTACAAAAAGGAAAATTGTCTTCTTCTATGGAAGGACCAGAACTCCTATATGTCTTAGCCAGTCAGAGAGAAATAGTGGCAGGGATCAAACATCAGTTTCAAGAGAACTTTTAGAATATATCTGCAGCTGATGCCAAATTTGTAAAATGTCACCATCATACTGAGCATAATATATGCAATAATCTACATGAAAGACACAAGGGTATTGTTGATGCAGTTGCATAACTATTTACATGAATAACAACTGTACTTCCATTCCATGAAGTTGTTTAAATTTCCAATCATTGACTAAGTAGATTTAACTCTCTTTTTACTGCTGCTCTCACTACTATTATCACAAAAATGATCTTTTGTGTTCTATTGTTCAAGTTTTGTGTCGTAATTTTATTCATTATTTTGGTTCTCATCATTCTTGGTTTCTCTGGTGAGGCTAGACTAATAATTTGCATACCAAGACGTTTTTTTTTACTGCTGCTCTGATTGTTCTCACCATGGCTTGTATCCTTTCCAGTTTTGCCGGTACCTCTTTTACCTTGGAAAAATTAGGACAATTCAGTTGGAATATACTGATGCTAAAGAGTCCCTCCTCCAAGCCGCCAGGAAAGCACCTGATGCTGCTCTTGGGTTCAGAGTGATATGCAACAAGTGGGCTGTAATTGTCAGATTATTGCTTGGAGAGATTCCTGAAAGAACTATTTTTATGCAGAAAGGAATGGAAAAAGCTTTGAGGCCATACTTCGAACTTACAAATGTAAGTATAAGACAATTAAACCTGAAGAAGTTTCCTTACCATCTCAGGAATTCTAGATTTAATAATGACACTTTTATCGTATTGTGTTTGATGCAAACCTTGGGTTTCTCATTTTCGCCTTTCTTCAAACTTGCCTCTATGATGAATGCTTCTACCATCTTATTCTAGAAAAGATCTTGTATATTGACTTTGCTACTGGATAATATTTTCTAAAAGAAAGCAATTTGTTATATTCTAAGCATATGCAAATGATTTGTTCTGACATGTGGGTTTTCAGGCTGTTCGAATTGGAGACTTGGAATTGTTCAAAACAGTGGCCGACAAGTTCTCCAATACATTCAGCTCAGACCGGACTGACAATTTAATTGTTAGGCTGCGTCATAATGTCATTAGGACTGGGCTCCGCAACATCAGTATCTCATACTCCCGGATCTCACTAGCTGATGTGGCAAAAAAGCTGAGATTGGATTCTCCAAACCCCATAGCTGATGCCGAGAGTATTGTAGCCAAAGCAATTCGAGATGGTGCAATTGATGCCACATTGGATCATGCTAATGGATGGATGGTGTCAAAGGAGACTGGGGATATCTACTCTACGAATGAGCCTCAGGTTGCTTTCAACTCGAGGATTGCTTTCTGCCTGAATATGCATAATGAGGCAGTGCGTGCCCTTCGATTTCCACCTAATTCCCACAAAGAAAAAGAAGGTGCAGAGAAGAGAAGGGAGAGACAACAGCAAGAGCAAGAGCTTGCCAAGCATATAGCTGAGGATGATGATGATGAATTTTGATGATTAGTGACATTTGATTGCGCACCTCACTATCAAATTTCCTTTCAAGGATGTTTAAATTTTCTCAGACTGTGACTTCGTCTTCCATTGTTCATTTAAGTCTTAAGTAATTGTTTAACCCTTTTGTATTAATTGTGGAATCATTCCCTCTAGATTTGTTTACCTCTAAAAAGTCTCCTTTCTGAACTTGCAAAGTTTCAGTTGAATTATTCTTGCTTGCTTTGTCTTTTGCGTGATCCCACGAGTAGTTGCTTGGTGAGGCTGCTCAGCTGCATGTATAAATTCAGTAGTGGAAGGTTTAGGCTATTCTGCTCCTCTGCTCTTGCCTTTTCTCATATACAGCGTTGACGGGTTTTGATCTGTTGGCGTAGCAGGGAACTTGTACACGATGCCTAAGCAATGTACCATCTTTTAAAATAGCTGCTTGACCTTTCAGGTAGCCAGTGTAACAGTTCAGCAGGAACTCATATCCCATCTTCTGGCATTAATTTTCTAGCAGTGGTGCAGTGGCAACTGCAGCCTGCAGTATCTATTTACTTCATTTCAATGGGTTGGTTTCATTCTAATATGAGATAAGAACATGGATCCATCGCACCCTGTGCAGCCAAGAATTTACTTGAAGGAGGTTGGATGCATGAATGTTAAAAGTATGACTAATTAAACTGAGGCTGTATATATTCGGACCATTTTTACATCTGAGAGGCATTTACGTGTCCAAGTGAGCTAAAAAGTAAACAAGGGAACAAGTAACTCTCCACAGAATACCCCAACTCTAAGAGGAGAAAACACTAGATTTTAATGCTAAAATTAGTTCGAGGCATGAAAAATTCAATGATCTTTACCAGGAATATAATATCATTTTTCATTTCAAAACATGGTAAATTCTACAAACTCTCTTCATCTCGTGAAGTCAGATATTCAATCAATGAGATTCAACAGATGAGCTACATTAGCTCTAAAATCAAGTTACGACTATAGGTACACAGTTACAAGGAAAGGAAACAAAATAAAAGTCTTCAAACAAACAAGTGTACGAGCAAAACAATGGTTCACAACTCAGCCAGCTGAATTCAATCCGAAGGACTTGACAATTGTGCTGACTCTTTCAGCAAAAGTTCGGGAAGTTATTTTCTTGCCTGGAACATGAAATGGGTTTGAAACTGCATCGACATAAGCAGCATGGAACCGCCTGAAAAACTAAAATTACCAAGAAAATGGGAGGAGAGTTAGCTGACAAATTATAAAGACTGGAGTTCATCCATGACATGCATAAATATCAACTCAAAACTGTTGTAGTCTTGCAGAAAGTGTATATTATGTACTTCATAACTGACTGACTTATATATGTCCTTGGGATCAGTTTTCACTACAATGTCTGAAAGTAACGCAATATTGCCCAGGGACTTAACTGCAATGAGGACACAGTTAAAAAATTTCAGACCTACTAGATTTCATTGAAAGCAAGAGAAACACTCGAGTGAGTGCCGAGATTAATGCACCTGCTTCTGTGTATATTTTGTAGCATTGTTACCAGTGGCACATCCAGGATATTGAGTGAGCTAGGGCGGCCATTGGCCGTTGACGTCGCAATAGTAAAATTATTTATTAATATTTAATTAAATAATATTTAAAAAATATATAATAATTACTAATTAGACTCACTCATTTAAGGGATAAATCTAATAAGC